GGTCGTACACACCTAGTTGAGGTCTTGTTTGATAGATTATAGGTTCCCCCGAAATTGCCTTGATGCACAATCACTAACGTGTGTGTTGGGCAATTTCCACGAGAACGCCGCAAAAAGCGCTATTGCAATAGGCAGGGTCAAGATGCTAATCTACGTAAATGCACTATCGTCATCAGGACACGTGCAGTGACTTGTTGCGAAAGATTTCAGTCTCGAGGAGCTTTCAGCAACAAGATTATTACTATGCAGCGAATGTATGAGCTGATCTTCCAGATGTTTTTAATTTGGGAGGAGGATCAACAATATTTCCATTCCTCGCGATTTTTCTAGTCTAGTTTGGGATATTCCAGTGTTTTTCAGAGCAATTGAAGGGACCACATAGGCTTCTGGGCTTTTCACAACCCCTTTCTAAATCTTTCGAGCAGTCTTCTGCCGTTTCTAGTCTTTAACCAGATCTTTTTTGACTTTTCCAGGCTCGCATATCTTGATACAGGGCATAGACAGCTCGAAAAATGGTCTTCAGAGCTTTTCTAGACTCCAGGAGAATATGTTGCATGAGGAGATGTTTCTGTTGCTAATTCACTGAGCATGTACATTTTCCGCTACAGGAAAACATAAACTGTGAGAATTTAAAAAAAAAAAGTTCCCAACCCGTTATAATAGGAGTCTCTGAAAAACATTTTAATGTTCCCTGGGAAGGAAAGATTTCCAGGAACATCCTTTTGAGCTTTCTAGGCTAATCTATCTCAGGAAAAGACATGTAATATTCATAAGAGCTGCTCTATGTTGTTGAATAATTCAAATAATCTGGCTATTTGATCCCAGTGTAGTGGTAGAATATTTTGTTTTTAAAATACACATAGAAATTATCCTGTATCAGGTCCTCAAAGTTTTTGAAACAGTGCTTTAAAAAAAGTCTGTAAATCAGAATTTCATAATTAGTTTTGTACGTTCCTACATTCCAGCCCCGTACTTTGAATTTTTGTCGAATTCTTCGGTTTCTTGAGATTCTTTAGTTTCTTCGGACTCCCCATACTTTGAATTATTTATTAACATATTATTGATACTCAAAAATGTAACACACATTGACACATCCCTGTGACACAAGCAGGAAGTTTAATTAAAGTCAATTAAATAATGTTCACGTGTTCCACATTATTCATTTGCTGTTTTTTTAATTGTTTACATCGTGAATTTGAATGTTTTGGTGTATAAATCAAACCAAATTACACGTTTACGTGCGTGGGACATCTGCCAATATTGTAAAATATAAGTCAAAAGTGGCAACGAAAAATGGGACATTCGTCGTGCACACATGATCCTTGAAATTATTTATGCCCAATGCTAATTATATCCCGGCTGACTCTTCGTTTGTTATTAGCAGGTGTGTTATTCTTGTTCTTGGAATGGGCGCTTATTCGTAATTATAAAGGCCTTGTGAAATGGCTTGTGTAACAGTTAAATTTGGAAGTTGTTGTTTACAAATGATTAGCGCAAATGAAATGTTGATCAAGTAAAATATATTTTGACTGTTAAGTAATTCTTTCGAGCATTGATAAGCATTTGGAAATGTGACCCTAATTTGTGTAAGATAAACTTTGTGTGACGTATTTTGGTAAACTTTTAGGATTATACACTATAATTAGTACTGTCACTTCATGATAATTATGGTGCCGTAACACTTTTTACAATTTTATATAAAACTTCTTTTTTTTCTTATTGAATGTCTACCTTTAATTTACGGGACACCAGTAGTCTATATGAGCTTCTTAAATGAGTTGGTATCAGTGACAAAATTTGAATTAAATTGTATTTTAGATACCTTTTAAAGTAATTAGGTGTCATTTGCGTATTAAACAAACAAAAAACGAAAAATGTGTACTGTAGAGGGTGGTCCAAATTGGATACTTCCTTATGGAAATTCCCTTACTATTTTAAAAGATAGAAAAAAATGGACCTAGGTGTCTAGAGCTCAATTTTAAAGAGAAAATAACTGGCTGATGCTGGTGCAAACAGAAAACGAAATCTCTAATCTTTTGGCCGCTAGGGGGCGTTTCTCGAATTTAGTCGAGCTCCATAACTCTTATTAAAAATAATTGATTTTGGCAAAATCTTTCTTATGGCACTTTATGTAGAATCAATCGCGATACCCAGTTTTTATAACGTCCGTGAAGTTGGCACCGCCCATTGTTCATATTAATATTATTTGTATGCACATCGTTTGTTTATCGTTTGTTTACGTTTGTTTAACTATTTTCATCGTTTGTTTGCATTTCCGTATGTCTTTTTTAAAAATTCCAAATGAGCGAACTAACTTCACGGTGGCTGGCCCAAAATCATAATGTTGTTAAGTTTGCAAGTCATTTGTTTATGGTCTGTGGGCGCGTAAACTTTACTGTCATTATATTATTTTTCATCACGATATGCATCTTTTTAAAAAAATGTTAAATGGAAAATTAACTTTATGGTGGTGCAGCGACAATTCGCTTATGAACTCTACAATTGTAGCAGTAGCATGCATGCGGTGATTAGGTAAACGTAAAAGGCTCTAATAAATTAGTCACTGTTCTTCAAACAATTCTCTAATTTTCATATTAAAATGTACGATGGTACTTAGAACTGCCTACCGTTTTAATACAATGCGATAAAAAATGAGTTGCTGTCGAGTCACCTTTGGAATTTTTGTTTACATGGGAAATTGTACCACAGATTTAAATAGTAATAGTAATAGTTTTTTCCGCTCCCGCTTCCGCTCTCAAAAGTTTTTTTCTGCTCCCGAGCGCTTTTTCCGCTCTTGAGCTTTTTTTCCGCTCACGAGCACTTTTCCCAAGCGCTCGCGATAAACCACTCGAGCACTTTTAGGAGTGTTCGGAACTCGCAAGCGGTCTCGCGTTGAAATTATGGATTCTACAGGCCATGTTCTATAAGAAATTTTTTTTCCGGGTCAATCTGAGACAAATTTTTTTTCGGGCCTCAAAAAAAGGCAATGTATAACCTTCCTTTTTACCAAAAATCGACCGCACCAAAATTTATCGGGAAAACACGTTTTCTTATTAATTTTGGTGCGTAGAATCCAAAACAATTCGTACTTTTTCGATCAGACTTCTCAATCAAAGTTATAGACTAGAAACCAATTTCGAAAGAAAATTCAAAGGGCTGTTACTTTTGAACTAGTATGCCAATCGGGATACGGATTACATTTTGGATAGTTTTGAAAATAGTGAGTTGTGTGTTGCCAATTTTTTAGACCTAACAAAGGCTTTTGATTGTGTAACTCACTCTTGCTTGTTGCAGAAGCTGTCAAAATATAATTTTGTGGACAAATCAGTTGCATTATTAGAGTCGTACCTAAGTAATCGCACACAATATGTTTATTTTAATGATTCCGAATCTAATTTTAAAGAAATTAAAAAGGGAGTGCCGCAAGGTTCGGTACTTGGCCCTGTGCTCTTTTTGATATACTTTAATGACATTACAAATGTTAGTCATTGGAAAGAATTGATTCTGTATGCAGATGACACTACCCTTTTAAGCAGATGTAAGAATCTGTGTGATTACACTACCAGTTTACTTAATAGTATTAAAGATTGGCTAAATGATAATAAATTGCACATAAATTCACAAAAATCGCAAACATGTACCTTTAGTTTAAAAGAAATAAACCATTTCAATAACCCAGCAAACATAAACTTTCTGGGTGTTTACATTGACCCTAAACTGAATTGGAATGATCACTGTAATAAAATTTCATCGAAACTGTCAAAAGCATGTTTTGTTTTAAGAAGTTTAAAAATGATTGCCTCTAGACATATTGTCATTAATGCGTACTATGGTTACTTCCATTCGGTTATGAGTTACGCTATAATTGCATGGGGTCACTCGGCAGGTATTAAGCGGGTCTTTGCAATCCAACGACGTGCATTGCGCATTATTAGTAATTTGGGATACAGAAGCTGTTGTAAAGGTAAATTTATCGAATATGGTATTTTAACTCTCCCTTGTGTATATGTCGCAGGCTTAATTGGCAAAATCAGTCTTATTATAATACACTAGGCTTTTTCAATACGACCAGGCGAATTGTGAAACGAACGAAAAAATTGGGAATCTCACAATTTGACTGATAATTTTTAGGCGTATTATGAATTCGCCTGCAGCTTGTTAGTCTTACTGTTAAAAGAGAACCTGTTTTACAATACGACTACTTGAAATCCGCCGTATTCTAAATACGGCTGGCGGTACGTCAGGCACATTAAAAACAATCCACAGTGCTAATAATTAGGTGTTTTGCAATAAAAAATTAAGACCTCTTGATATCGGCCAGAACATTGCGATTGAAGTTCCTAAAGTAGATAGGGGACCACTTGATCCCAAAAATATATTAGGAACTGTAGTGAATATCAGCAACGGGGTTTATCAAATTGGCACCACTCATGGCTTGTTAAATCGGTGGTTTTCCAGGGATGAAATTTCTGCCTGCCAAACCAATGAAGTAATTACTAATATTCCGGAAGGGAAAGCAATTTCCTTGAGAGAAGCTCTAAGATTATGTTCAAAATTCGAAGGACAGGGGTTTAAAAAGTGTTCATGCAAACCAAGCAAAGTACAGTGTCGCAGTAATAAATGTTTATGTTTTAAAGCTCATATGCAATGTACCTACTAGCAAATGTCATAAAAGCGGACCATGCTGTAATAAATAAATAATCCAAATCTATAATTATTTTTTTAAATTGTTTAAACCTCTTTAAAGTGAATGATTAAATACAATTTGCCTGACGTACCGCCAGCCGTATTCTAATACGTCGGATTTCAAGTAGTCGTATTGTAAAACAGGTTCTCTTTTAACAGTAAGACTAACAAGCTGCAGGCGAATCATAATACGCCTAAAAATTATCAGTCAAATTGTGAGATTCCCAATTTTTCGTGTCGTTTCACAATTCGCCTGGTCGTATTGAAAAAGCCTAGGTGTATTATAATAAGACTGATTTTGCAATAAGCCTGCGACATATATAACGGACAAAAAAATCGATTTTTAAAGAAAAAGGGAGAAAGGGTATAACTTTAGAGGCTGTGGCCTTAAAAGTTTTGGTCGGAATCTATGACAGCTCAGAATGTTGACCATCCGCCATATTCTCCCAAACCGAGCCTACTTACGTTTTGCTTTTGGTACTGGTTGGCTGGAAAGCGGTAAAAGCTTAAACGATTTCAAATACTCAAATGTCAGGCTTTACAGTTTTGCGCGGTGGTTCGAAAGGATGCAGAAGGGTATTCAATTTAACGGTGAATGCTTCAAATATTAGTTTTATCATCCTTTGTTTAAGTTATTGTTATTATAAGAAGTAAGATTTTCACTCAATATAATTAAATCTCGCATCATAATTCATAAAAGCCCTGGTGCTCCAGTACTATGTTTCTTGTCTAGATCCCACCTTTACGTTAACACATCCTTTTAACAATAAAATAAGAATAGGTATAGGTTCTCGTCCAGTTTGTTATACCGGGTGAATTATATTCTAAACCGGAACATAGAGAAAAATGTTTTGTTTTGCAGATTGTTGCTCCCCATGTTAACTAACGATAAATACGAATTTTCAGTTATATTTCTCCTTACTTTATCAAAATTCAGCAATAAATCCAATTAGCAAAATCATGTTAAGGCATAACAGTCACACAAATAATCTTCTTTTGATTGATGTCATTATAAACCTTCTAAGTTAACATGGGGAGCAATAATCTGCAAAACAAAAGAAATCAGTACATTCTGTCTGTCTATCCGAAATTATGAAACTTTCCGAAGGTAGAGGTTTTCGAATTTCGTGTTCACTAATCGATTGCTTAGGATTTGGATTTGAAAGATTTGATTACATTTTGTGTCTTTCTTTTATACTTTCTCTACTCCAGAACACATACTTACCCATCAAAAAGTAGATACCTACCTGATTGAGCTTGGGAAATTTCTTAATTCGGTTTTACTTTTTAGACGCGGTCTTCAGGCAGTACCTACCTCATCGCCAGCAATCCAAACGATGGCACTATTCCAAAACTGCAACGAATTAGCACGGACCTTGGTCGCTTATCAACCCTGTAGAGATCGTCAGCAAAGCGCAACATTCATTCAGGTAGGACCAATGAAACACAGACTATGCGTTTACTGAATAATATCTTATTGTAGCAAATATGAGCACTATTCACCACATCAAATCCGACGCTGACATCAACGAGTGTTCCAGCCGTCAACGGTACCTAGTTTTTGTGTTACAAAAATAAAACTCAATTTCTTTTCAGAATATATAATTGATTAATTTTCCATCGGTGTGAAACCGGGATGTTGGAAATCTGGAAAATACCAGTCACTTGGTGCGAAGCTACAGATCAGTGGAACTAGGCCTAAACCCCTTTGAGGTCGCATTCCGTCTAGAGGAAGGATGCAACGATGCCATCTTAGGAAATCGTCAAAGCGGTATCGGGCGACCAAACAACTTACCAACACTCAACAGTTACCCTTTGGTTGGCATTCGTTTCAAATCCGCTACATCCTTAAGGTAAGCAATTTTTGGAGTCCCATTTAAATTTTGTGAATGTCGCTTCATCAAGTATCCAAGTAGCCTATAAGAGATTTTAAGAGAAATTAAAAAAAGTGATTCAAAAAAGTTAGGAGTGATTCAAAAAAGTGATTCAAAAAAGTTTTTTGAATTCAAAAAGGATTTCAAAAAATTTCCTTGATTTAAAAAGGATTGTTTCAAAACAAACAAAAAATTTTTAAACTTTTTTATTGTATTTTTCAATAGTTACATTTGGGAAATTTTTAATAAAGTTTAAATATAGCTTCTCTTATTAATTAAAAAAATTTCGTTTGCTTTCAGTTTTCATTGGTTTTTTTTGCTGGGGGGGGGGGGGTGGAGAGACTATGTCGTGTGATGAACTAGTGCGAGCTACCAGCAAAGTGCAGTTAGGGCAGTACAATATTATTCTAGAGATGAACAAATGAAATACGTTTCTTTTTTGTATTACAAAGATCTTCCTGTAACAGTGATAACTTAAAAAATAAATAACTTGATACGTATATTTTGTTCTCAATTGAAGCTACTAGTAGTGAAACACCATTGTCACTTTGATTGACTACTAGTAGCTACCTTAACAGTAAACCTCGATGGCGGATGGACCGGAATGATGATAATGACAGCGCCGAATTCGAAGTGGTGATGGTGAATAGTACTCATCCCTACAACAATAAGATTATCCAGTAAACGTGTAGACAGGATTTCATTGTCCTACCTAAGAATGTTGGTCTTTGTTGAGAATTGCAGAGTTGACTAGTTCCTTCGGTCTTCGTCGTTTTAGATAGCTAGCGATGAAGGTAGGTACCGCTTGAGACCGGCTAAAAAGTGAAGTCGGATTAAAAAAGATCTTTTGATGGGTAAGTATGTATCCCAAAAGAGCCGAGATATTTGTGAACTAAATCAGATCAAATCAGTTGAATTTGGCCTGTAGAATCCATAATTTCAAACAGTTCCAAGATTGGGCCACTAGTTCAAAAGTTACAGCCCTTTGAATTTTTTTTCGAAATTGGTTTTTAGTCTATAACTTTTGATTGAGAAGTCTGATCGAAAAAGTACGAATTGTTTTGGATTCTACTCACCAAAATTAATAACAAAAAGTGTTTTCCCGAGATATTTTGGTATAGTCGATTTTTGGTAAAAAAGGAAGGTTTTTACACTGCCTTTTTTTGAGGCCCGCAAAAAAAATTGTCTCAGATCGACCCGGAGAAAAAATGTTCTTATAGAATGTGGCCTGTAGAATCCATAATTTCAAGCAGTTCCAAGATTGGGCTACTAGTTCAAAAATTACAGCCCTCTGAATTTTCTTTCGAAATTGGTTTCTAGTCTATAACTTTTGATTGAGTAGTCTGATCGAAAAAGTACGAATTGATTTGGATTCTACGCACCAAAATTAATAAGAAAAAGTGTTTTCCCGAGAAATTTTGGTGTAGTCGATTTTTG